ACCTTGGTAGTCATATGATATAGTAATGAAAAAAATAATCACTGACAAGTTTTTGCAGCACGAGTCCAATTAATGTACTTGGTTCACAGCAGTTTGGTGCTTCTGCAGACGTTGTACTAACCTGCAGGAATGAGGTGGCTGGCCTTGTACTAGTCAGACTTTTAAAGCATGACTTTACTCAAAAACTGCGAAAGTAACTTTGTGGTATTTGGTTTATAGGTGATATATATGTTGCAGGAAGCCTAAACTGGATAAGTGGTTTAATTAATGCATGGATTTTTAAGATGTAATACAGAAGAGAGTTGACCCCATATGTTATGAGCTTGTTGGCACCTTCTGATCCTCCAAAGATGAGGCTTGTTATATATCTAAAGGGTGACCATAAATTTTTCCATCAGGGCTTTCCAGCTTTGAAATGACCAGCCTGAGGAGATAAGGCTCACAGAAGTATTGGTGTTTTGCTGTGATTGAATCCTTTATGATCTTTTACTGCCTTTGATTGTCTTTTTGAAATCAGCTTTCAATTAGTTTACAGTGCTCTCTGTTTTTGGTGGTTCTTCCATACCAGTTTTATTTCTCTTTACTTTTTTTTGGGTTTTCCTATTTCTTTCTGTTCATCTCATCACTTAAATGTTATAATAAAATTATTACTATTTTTAAAAAGATCTCTGAACACGAACAAAGTCCTGCATCTCTAAATCAGCAGTCTTTTGCCAACTTTTAAAGAAAATCTAGGAAGTATTGAGCAAAACATAAAGAGCAAACAGAGTAACTTCTAGGGCCTTAGTAATTCGTCAACCATTGAAATTCACTTGCTTCAAGAGGTTTGGCTGAAGAGGACAAAGGACAAAACCCTACAGCCCATGTCTTTAAACCCATTCTATCTCTCTCTCTCTCTCTCTCTCTCTCTCTCACTTTTGTACACATGCACGTTTCTGGTAAAGGTAGGGAGTAAAGTTCAGGCTGGTCAAGAGGACAGAGAGATCACCGTCCTGCCCCGGAGGAAGACGGAGGAGCCGGACGACACGACCACGGTGAGTGTGATTCACCTCTGAGCTCTGAGAAAGGCCGTCTATTTATAGAAACCATATGCAAGTGTTGGGGCTCTGTAATTTTTAAGGTTTAGACTGAATGTAAGTGGACAGATGAGAACTGCAGCTAACCTCTGGGCAGTGGGCTCTACATGTGAAAATATGTGTAAAACACTTTGGAGTCAGAGTGAAGGAGACCAGCATGCATACAATGAAAAAAAAAAAAGACCAAGCATTGTCGTTATTAAGGTTTCTACCCATTTATTGGGAATTTTCCTTTCCAAATGTTAGAACATAAGAATTCCAAGGACAAAATTCATATAAGACACTTAATTTGAAGGGTAACACCTTATAGTTACTGAATCTGTGCTCTTTTAGCAACTACAGATGGATCGAATGCAACCTCACTCTAATGAAACCTCAGCAACCTGGTTGAAGTTGAGGGTTTAAAGTTCTCATGAACATTAATGATAATAAAGTTTGTGGTTTAGGCGTTGTGTCCTGTAAGTGCTCAGTGACACAAGTGTAGAGACTGGTTGGCGATGTCCTAGAAACAGTCCGTTGCTAGGGAAAAATGAAAATTCACCATCTGGTTGCTGGAGTTTGCTGGCAGACACTGTTTAACTTATTGCTGAAGACTCAGTAGGTCACAGCGCTGACCGAGAGAAAGGCCGGTATAAAAATGGAAATGAAAAAATCTATATTTCCCGAACAGCTGGTCAGTGGTTGTTAGCTGTCTCTAGGTGAAATAAGTTGCAAGTTGTAGGTTGCAGCAAAAATGAAAACGTTTTTCTTGAAAGACAAATGTTCTACATTTGGCAATAGTTCAGACAAGCTGGCGTCTTCTATGCAAACTACTGGTGTCTGCAGCAATCTGTTGCTGTGACCAAATGAATGATGAATATCAGAAACTGAAAAACATCTAATGAACAGATGAAGACGCCATCATCTGACTCTTCCTGCTGCGCGTCCTGTATCAGTCTGAAGGACAGATGTCCTCGACCTCGGGGAATCCTCAACCTGCTCATCACCAAAGGTAACGAACACTCATGATGCCTGTGTGTTTGTATAAGGTAACATCCTCAACTATGTGTCTTCATTAAATACTCTACCTGACCAGCAGCACTGTGTAAATGTGTCCTGTCACACTGAATCTTAATGGGATGTCACATCTGCTCGCAGTCTGTTTGTTTGCTCTGCTGTTCGGAGTCGTCTGGACCATCACGGGAAAAGAGTGTTTACCTGGAGGGAACCTGTTCGGCATCATCATCCTCTTCATCTG